TGCTAGATTCCCTTTCTAAATGCCCACAATGGCCCTCACCCAGATTTTTTCAAGACCTCATAGTCATGTCACCCATATCCAAAGGATTATATGTTTCATACAACGGGCAATGATGCCATTTTCTTCCTTATGCAAAAGGGGAAAAAACTACCGATATGGCTCATACCATCAGCATTAGAAGAGGTTCCTAGGTTGTTAAGTAGAGGGTCTTCATGTAAAATCATCAAATTCAAGCTATATGTGATGTTCTGAATTAAAGAAATTTTAGGAGTATATAAAAATTGTCTTGTGCGGGTGGTGCAAAGCATTTTTACAAGTTCGAATAGTAATCAGAAGTGAGGGTAGGTATGATTGGGTTGTATGTGGTTTTCAGAAAATTGGGAATATGCTGAAAATATTATTTTTTAGTTATTTTTATAATAGATTTTTATACTTTTGACAATTTCTTTAAAGACATTAGTGGTATACATATTCAATTTGTATTCAACATTTCCTATGAGGGAGGTATACTATAGTATCTATATTGACTAAATACTTGAATATTTATAAACTAATAGCTAAGCATAAAATTGGAAACTGAAACAAAAAAATATAGGAATGTATTTCTAATTCCAACCTGCTAGTGGGTCACATTGCAAAATATAAAGTTGCATCATGATCTACCACCTGCCACATTGTACAGGTGTTAAGCTGGAATACTAACATGAAGGTCTTATTCATTTATGAATACTGTCTTCTCCGATGGGATTGTAGGATCAGTGAATCCCTCTTGATTTGTTATGAAAACTGTGGGAGAAAAAGAAATTATAGATTATTGGACTGAAGAGAATGGTAAACTATAGTGAAATTGAAGATTTAAGAGACTTAAAAAATTAGATGCAATGTTGCTAAGGAAAGGTGTTGGTTATAATGGTTTCACATATCCCTACAGACATTTGACCACCATTGCCCATGGGTCAACAATTGCATTGGTCGACGGAACTACCGCTATTTCTTCATGTTCCTGTGCTCTCTCAGCATTCACATGATATCCATCTTCACCTTCAGTCTTATACACGTGCTTGACAAGAAGGATAGTTTGACTGAAACGACCACCATTGTGAGGTAAGTTTGACAAAAGTAGTAAATGTTAAGAAAAAAAACGTTAAATATTTTAGTAGGCAGGTAGGAGAAGATTATCAGTGTGTTGATAAAGTAATGTTTATTTTTATTTATCTATTTTTTTATGGTAAGTGATGAACATTATATAGATCACTGGTTCAAAACCTTTCTACTATAGGAGATTGGAGATATAATCACATTAATACTTTAAGTGTGGAAGAAAGTATTAACCCACTCATGACAGGTGCTATTGTATCACATCGTGGCTGACTGTCCTCATGTAGGCCGTGGCGCCGTGATGGAATCAGAGTGCAAGCTCCGATCCAATGTCCAATGCCCGGCAATGTTTATTTTTGTGTCTCATATGTGGGACACCCATCGTAAATGGGTTAAGTTGTTAACTTGTTTGGCCCATAGCTTTGGTCATTGAGGAGAAACAGCCCTACAAAAGTAGGCTTAAAGCCTTGTTTTAGCCTTATCAAAACAATAGTTTATGCAAGATCAAAGAGAGAGAGAGATAGATTTGTTTCTTTTTGTTACTCAGTCATGAGTAGGTTAAAGAAGATGGCCATAAGGAAATAGTTTTTCATGATGGCACATTCCTATTACCCTGGCCGTTACCAAATTTTTCCATGATTCATTTCTTGTTGTATGGCCCTCATCCTAATTTTTTTGTGATGTTACGGTCATGTCACCTGGGTCCAATGAGTTTGTGGACATCTTGTAGAAGCAACTCTATCCTAGTACTAGAAAGTAAAATCTTTGGCAAAGACTGGGCAGGAAGGGCATGTTTTTATGCATGCTTCTCTGCCCCAAGGTAATTGTTTTTTGGCCAGTGATGAGTTATCCCAAGATGGACATCTTGCATGATGAGGCATCACCCAGTTTGTCATGCCAATTCTTATGATGTGAAAGCATATCACATGCTACCGAGAGCAAATGGAATCATTAAACTGTTAGCCCACTGATAACAGATGGCATATATGCAGGCCAGGTGATATGAGCTAGAAGATAATGAAGATATCAATTGTAAAACCCCCTTTTGATCATTCAGCTGTCTTCACCCCTTAACCCTTCAGTGACAGGTACGGCTGTTGCTGTCATGACATAATCATGTATTATGTGAGGGTAGGTTGGCTGTACACAGCACAAACCCTGCCAGAAAGACTAAACTTTTGTTCACTTCAGGTCATTAGACTAACCTAAACGGCCACTCTAATAGGTGTGTGACTAGTTGGCTGTGCACACATGAACACTGATGTGTGGTGACAAGACTCCATGCCTCTTCCTTTGCAATGTTATCTCTTTCTCTACAAAAATTCTTTAACTTTTTTGCCATTTTCCTCACACAGACTCCATATCACGTATCTATGTAGTCCATAACTTAGTGCAAAAATAACAATAATAAGTAACAATTTGTTATTAGTCTTTTTTTATTCTTCTTTTCTTTTTTTCATAATATTCAATTTGTTATACGATCAGTGTTGCCAGTCATGGTGGGCAGGAATAGGATCCTGTGCACGGAAATAGACTCCTCTCTGGAGCCACCGCTCTTCTAGCTATGGTTCACAGATGGTGCATTCTGGACTCATTTATAGATGGAAATAATGCCAAAGACCCTCCCTGAATGCCCACTGAGTCAAATCACCCTCTAAGAGCTTTATGCAATTGTGGCAAGTCATTCCGGTCTCCCTGGTCTTCAGTCTAAATTCTTTTAACAGCAAATTCCCATCACCCTGGCCCATAACTAAAATTTACCCATGATGGCATGTTCATGCCCCCTGCCCCTTAAACCAGATTTTTTCATGATGTGATGATCATGTCATCCGAATCATTGGGCTTTAAGGTTTTTGTTCACTTTACATGTATATAAATTTTGTTGCCAAATAAAAGATGCCACAACTGTTGGAGTGAGACAAATTCTCTCCATGTCATGTTGCATTGCTATCTGTGATTTAGTCCAGTACAGTTATGGTATATAATCTCATATATGACCAATGGATTGAAATGTAATGGGCTTGTCATGTACAGGAATTAGAAGGACGTCAACATAGAAAGAGGTGTGGCAGAAAAGCAAGAAGAATAGGAAGAACTACATTACAGTGATTTTTCAGTGACGTCAGATTTAAAGACGACAGGAATGTCGATGAAGGTCTTAAGGTGCCAGGAAATAGTCCATGTACTTCTAGCCTAGCTTATTGAAAGCTGGCCCTCTTTTCATTATTTGAATTCTAGTATATGGATGAGTAAAGTCATTGTGGCTTAGGTGCATCATATGGGATTGCAGAACTTGGTCATGATTGATTTAGATCTAGTGAATCAAGATGTGTACATTTACATTGACAGTCACCTTTTTCAGGCATAAATGAATTAATCGTAGAATTGTTGGATTTGATTAAATATTATATTTAGACTAAAGAGAAAAATAAGATATGCATGATTTTTTTTTTCTTTTTCTTTTTCTTTTTGTGCATGCACACTTTACAGCATAGTGGTATCTTTTACTGTTATATACCAGTCATTCCTCCTCCTAATTTACCTACACTAGATATTTATATCATGGTCTTTCAGTTTTATTAATAAACATTGAATTGATTTCTCATAAAACTGAAGGAATTCAGAGCTTTTATTATTGGCAACTTTCATACAAAACCCCAAATTATATCAAAATCTTCTAGAATCTTAGCCTTTATAGTGACTAACTGAATTTCAAGTGATATGTTCAGTTTTCCCATCATGTACCGAAGTTGTAGCTACTATAGTGTGACTTTTATCAGGGAAAATGCGCCTGATTTAACTACATGCAATTTATGATAGGATATTGCATAACCCATATGAAATCATTGTGAAAATATCTTGTATTTTCTTGTGTTGTAAGGCAGTAATTGTGCATATAGTGTACTTGAAATAGATTGGTACACTTTGTCTAATATGTGATGTTTTTCCATCACTTTGTAACCTTGAATGTGTAAGCAAACATAATTGGTGCAGATTTTGTTAGTACACGTTTATTGAATGTTCAAATATGGCAACTTTAGTTTTCATATCAAGGAATCGAATGTCAGGTCCACTACTGCGTGTCTATGATAAATGAAATTTTGCTTTACATGAGGTATCCTTGATCATAAATTTATGAATATCATGTTTTATTTATCAACCAGTTGGGTCCTTCACTACAGTTTTTCTTATGTAATATCTTCAGTATATGAAAGTTTCGATTGTATTATGATGTTGCTTGACTGTATTGAAGGAAAGAAATGTAGAGAAAAATATCTAACGATTTTGTCGTCCCTGAAGATGGCTTCACTGATTTTTGCTGTGCTGCATTATTTTGTCATGATCATAACAGGGTCATCCATTTTCATGAGTGAGTTGCATGGAAGATTAGTTTGTTCTAGAGTGTATGCAATCTGTCAGTTAAACAAAAATGTTGAAACCAAAAGCCAGTGAAAGGCAATATGCAAAAAACAGTGTAGTGTTTTTTGTTATATAAACCTTGATCACAGTGAAGGGCTTGACCCAACTGCCCCAGATTTATGTGTGGTCCCCTGTAGCTTTTTGTGAATTTTGTTACATACAGAAGGCTCCAAATGTACTCTGCCACTAAGGAGTTCCTAATGATTGCACATTCCTTGAAATAGCAGGAAAATGCATTTTTTCCTTCTAATACTATTCATGATGATACTGTTATTATTCAATTTGATATTATGATTATTAAAATGTTAATAAATGAGTAATAACATTAAAGACAATGATATGATATAAAAGAATAATTCCAAAAATCAAGGAAAATGGTAAACATGTGCGATAGGTAGGACTAATAACTGACTCCTTGGTGACTAAGTAATTGTAGAGCCATCTATGTGTAAAGACAATAAATAGATTTATATAACTAATATAGGTATGGCAAGTATTCTTTCCAAACATGGCGATTGGGTTGATAAAGAGTTCTATATTTTTCTGAACTTGTCACAAACTGCTTCCACAGATTTACTAATCACCCTGGGGAAGCCTGGTTTGTCAGGTCAGTGTAACTTCAGAGTGTATGTAATACCCTGGAAGATTAGCAATGTATTACCATTGACTATGTCAATAAACACTGGCTCTTTGGTACAGTATGCAAATTGCTCTATGTTATTTGCTAATTGGTGAAACAAAATCCACAGTTGGGCAGTAGATCCACTAAAGAATGTGGAATGCATGATAGAAATTAGACTCTAAACCAATTATTAGAGAAAGTATACAGATAGGCAACCTTTACAAGCACTGTAGACATTTTAGGAGGTAATGAGGTATGTACTAAGTTCACTTCTCTTAAAAAGTTCGCAGTACACCAAGCTATTCCATTCTGCAGATTTCTTTTTTTGTCCTTTATGGTTTCCAGCCTAGGCTAAGTGAAGAAGGTTAGAAAGGCTATTTTTTGGCAGCTGTAAAGTAGCCTAGAGCAAAAGATATTTCTTGTATAGAGGAATGAAATTGTATTTACTAGCACATTTGTATTTGATACAAGTGTGTTGTATTATTTGACTGCTGGGTTGTGATTTTATTACTGTGCATTAAAGATTGGTTCTTCATTTGTTGATTATATATTTTGAAGGAAATCTTTTCTAAGTTCATGGATGTTTACACTGAGCTCTCTTCCTGTGTTCTTGATTAAAGTAACATTATGTAAAAAGCATTTATCTTTCACTGCTTACAGCAGAATGTCTTCTAATTTAGCATAAAGAATAGTAGTCTTCATTTCATAAAATTATTTTTCAGAGTGACATTGGTTTTCATCAGAGATGAGAATGTTTTATTTAATTAGGAATTTTTAACTATAAGGAATTCAAACTGCTTTTCCCTTTATTTGAAAATTCTGCATAACCAGATGACAACAAAAACTTTTTGTTTGGTGATCACCAATGCATGTGAAGGAAGTTATCTTGTTATGGAACCCCATAATAACACTCATTTTATTCTTACAGCATGGTGGTAATGGGAGTTATAGCAGTACTGTTCATACCCATCCTTGGCCTGACGGGCTTCCACATGGTATTGGTTAGTCGTGGCAGGACAACCAATGAGCAAGTCACGGGCAAGTTCAGAGGGGGCTACAACCCTTTTTCACGGGGGTGCTGTCGAAACTGTTGCTATATATTGTGTGGCCCCCAGTATCCAAGGTAAATTTGGAGGATTTTGTTCATTTGCTTGAAAGCAAAAATGACTGGCTTGTAGCATTGATTTTTAATCTCACCTCTTGTTTTGGTTTTTAATTTTTATCCAAGTAAAGTTTCTACAGAAATGATTATATGCAACTTTTTTATTGCAGTATCAAACGACCAGCAAAATATATAGGGAGATATAGGTTCACTCCATCTTTGAGTCCCCCAGCACCAGTGTCGACAATAACAAGTCAGAGTCAAGTACGAGTATATATGGACAATGGTGTTCAGGCACCTAATTCTACAGCCTACAGTCAAGTGAGTATTCATTTACAAGAACAGTGATACAGTGCATACAGTCACTGAGTTTAAAAAGATGTACATGTTTTATTTGTGAATTTACCAATAATCGTCTTTCTACAGAGCACAGTAGATCAGTTCTTTGTGATACATGGCAAAATGAGAACACTGTTTCATTGCACATAGTTATTTATTAGGTTTTTTAGTCACTTATTAGCTAACTTCACCAAAGAAAATTATGCAAATATCATGGAGCACTATTCATTAGTTCTTCTAGAAAGTATGATTAATTCATGGAGTCTGATTGTGCACTTGTTTTGAATAACTATTTAGAGAGAGAATGTGTGCATGTTTTTTTTTTTTTAATAGAGAGAGAGAGAAAGTGATAGTGAAGTGAAAATAAGTGACCATCAGTGAGAATGAGAGTCTGTTTAAGAAGTGATTTTGTGTGTAAGTGAGAGAGAATGAGAAAGTGAAAGTGGGAGTGAGTGAGTGTGATATGATGGATAAAGTTTCGTGTTTGACTGATTTACGATTGTGTGAAAGGAATCTAAGCATCATTGATGAAATATGTTGGTCAGTATCATAAAGCAAAGTAATTTATAATCTCTCTTGCAATTTCCTCGTCAAGAATATAGTTTAATTTTTGTCTCAGCATTGATAGTGTTAGAGTGCTTATGTTGTCTCCTCTGTACCATATGAGACAAGTGCACAAAGGCATTTGTGCCTGTATGTGTATTTCTATGCACAAAAAAATAATACGAGTACATGTGTGGATTTAGGGAGTGTAAATCAGATACTAATGTGTGTTTGCATTCATATATATGTGTATGGATGTGCCTTGTATATGTGGATTTTTTTTCTTTTTCTTTTTTTTTTTTCCCCTAGTTGTGCGTGGGAATATGTGTGAACCTGCTAATCAGAGTTTTTAATATTTGTTTAAATAAGATGAAATTAAAAGGTGTCACATCTGGAAAGGAATACAGGACCATTCTTCATTGTACAGTGTTTCAGATTGCCTTGTAAGGTCACAAGGGAGATGTATGAACATGTCATTTATTTGAGAGAAATGCGGATTATTATGTACAAAGTTGTAATAGAATTTGGGGTTGTTTTATTTGCTGGTGGTGGAATTTTTGCGTGCCTTCAGATGATTTTAGCTTTTCAAAGAATTGTAAGAATATTGTAACTTTTATAGCGGATTTGATGTTGTACTGTTTGTATAAACATTTGCTTGGCATTGGTACAATAAACAAGTGTTTTCTTTCAGGTTATGTTCTGTAAGTGTACTAAGGATCATGATTTTTTTTCAGATGTTTACTATAAAAATAAATTTATACATATATATATATATTAGAAAATGTAACATTGTGTGTTGTCAAAAATGAAATACTAAGTGACTGTTAATAAAGACACAAAATACTAAATGAAAGTATATGTTATGCAGACGTTCAGTAAAGATTAAGTTAACTGCCCATTATTAATTTGTACTTTTCTTGGGGTTGTAATGCATTGAAATAATGAAATGTTTTAATAATGGAAAATTTCAGAATGTATTTGGCTTCACTTTTCTTTAAAGATTTAGTAAAGCTTAAGAAGAGGCAAATAAAAATGATTATTGAGTGAACATAAATACATAATCTCACTGCTGCATACACAAATGCTGTGTGTATATATATACATATTTTCACTCACTCACTCACACACTCACACTCTCACACTCTCACACACTCACTCACACACTCACACACTCACACTCACACTCACACACACACACTCACACACACACACACACACACACACACACACACACACACACACACACACACACACATCACACACACACACCACACACACACACACACACACACACACACACACATACACACACACACACACACACACACACACACACACACACACAACACACACACACACACACACACACACACACACACACACACACACACACACCACCTCTACTGTTCTTAATTGACTCACTCACACTCACATTCACTCACACGTACACATCACTATGATTTAAACGTGGTGGGACCCAAACTTTTAATGTTATGGGCTTTGATTTTGTTTAATATTCAAGTGATGTTCTCAAATATGGCATTGTTTTATGCTAATGTGTAACTAATTATATATGAGTTTCTTTGTAACAAATAACTAATACAACTTTGGAAAGGTGGGTAAGAGCATGGAGTGGGACCAGTGGTTGTCTGTTTTTCTCAGGAGGAGCAAATGTCTCTTCATATGTGTTGCAAAAGAGCTTTTCAGTTTTTGGAGCACACAATGACATCTCCAAGAGACAATCTTTTAGTTAGGGTTATCATTATATGACTCCTTAGGAGAACTGGCTGCAGAGGTTGAGGTTTAGGATCTGAACTGATAAAGAACTATGAACAGATGAATAGCTATGTCATTCTCTTTTAGGTTGGAATAGCAACTGAGTTGAAACCTTGCTTTCATGAACATTTTTGAAATCCCTCCAATGAAAGTGTTGTTTACATATCCAGTTGGAAATAAATGCTAATTCATTTGTTTTCAAAATGTTCCTTGTTGTCAAGGACTATAGGGTATGTTTTATTAAAGAATATTAAGTTTGCTGGTAATAGATCTTATAGACGTCGATAAATCACTGACATCTTTTTTGAGAACATAGTTTGTAACATTCATGGTTGAGGTAGATTATGGTCAGGCTTTGGGTAGGTTTGCATGACCATAAAACCGGTTTTTGTCCCACAGGACACGGCAGGCTTGATTGCTCAGGATAACGTAAGTACTGTGCATGATATGTCTAATGTGCATGATGGGTCGCACGGTGCGTCCACCCCCTGCATGTACAGTAAAGAAGCTGTAGTTGCTAGTAATTTGGTGCACTGCTAAATGCATGAGTAAATTGCCTTAACCCCACTGACTCTCCTTACCATCCCTCCCCTTGCCTGGATCTCTTGTCCCTATTGTTGCCACTCTATTTCTCTGGTCACACCAGCCCCATCCTAACTCCCCATGGGCCAGGCCTCATATGGTATTTCCTAGATTGGAGACTCTTATATAGAGTAAATACATTTGGAGACTGTGCAGGTTCCTGATTAGTCTAGCTTATTTCATGTGGAGGTACACTGGGGATATTGTTGGAAAGAATGTTATGTAAGGTGCCTCAGACTTTCTTGCCCTGCTAGCGATTTCAGTTTCTGGGTATGAGCATACGGATATACTGTTAATTGAGATCATAGATTGGTAATCTTTTCTTAGAGAGAAAAGCAGAATTAGGTGAATTTTTACAGCCTTATGGTAATTGGTCTAGCTTCACCTGAAAAAGTATCTAGCCAAGGTAACATTCTCCTTGATACTAAGCTTATATTTGGTGAACAATGTAGGGTAGAGGTAATGTGGGAGTGCTTCAGTAAATGGGAATTGGCTGGGACCATGATGAATAAGTACCA